ATCAGCATGCAATACATTTGTCACATTTTTCGTTATATTTTAAATTGAGATTTTTCAAAGGTTTAAAAATGTCCATGAAACATGCTACTGAAAGGTGAACCATTCTGTCTATAAATGCATTCTATAAACCTTTTTCTTCCATTGCAGAAGTTATTCTTTCATCTCAAAAGCATCCCTTCATCTATTCATCTATCTTCTATCTTCATTATGAAACACGTTGTTTCTTAGTGTATTCTAATAAAATACTGCAAAATTGTTTTGCACTTAAAGCACCGTTTTTTACAAAATTGAACTTCTAAGGCCACATTCAAAAATCACAGAAATTATTTGGAATTGTTTTAATAGCCAATATTTGTCTGATATAATGAGTCATGATTATAGCAGTTGTTTTTCTTACACCAATGTAAAAAACCTAGCAAGGCATCATTAGGATACATTCTTTGCATACTCCAACCAGCTTTTTTCTATCAAAACCTATTCATTTTATTTGTCCTTACTTCTTAACAAAAAGCATTTTATCCTGAAAATTCCATAAAATATAAATAATTGACAACATTATGCTATTTTCTCTGGTGAATTTGAAAAAATAGGTGCTCCGATTCTATGCTTGAAATAAATTTTTTTCCAGCTGCTCATGGATTTAACTGAATTTTCAGGAAGTCAAATTTCTGTTAGCTCATTGTGCTTTGGGCGTAGCACAATAGCATCAGCAGCAAAAATTCAGATGAGTTTTTAAAAATATATTGTTTGATTTTATTGATTTTAACCAACAAGAAATAATAGTGTATAAGATGATTTATCATTTTAGCTGGAATTTGATGAAAAGTTCCAATAGTATATTTCAACTTCATGTCTTTCTGTTCTGACCCAAACCTTGTTCCAAGGAAACAAACACGAAACAGATGTAACAGCAAAACCTTTTAATGCTTCTTTATGAATTCCATTCCCTCAGGGTTAAAAGGCTGTTTCAAACTAATTGTCTCTGATAAGAATGAGCCTTGCCAAGGTTGTGCAAGGCTGCCAAGAACACTAGATAAAGTTACTAAGAAATATTTCAAACACAAAGAGTCTGCAAACACCAACCAAGATATTCAGAATGTCTACAAGGCTTGAGTGCAAAAACTTCTATGCTTGCTGCAAAGAACTCCAGTTTCTTAGCTGGTTTTTATCTCTTAAGGGAGGGGCCATTATCTTGCAGTCTTACTCCCAAGTTGCCAGTGCTGCTGCAGCTGCTCTTTCCTTCGAGCAGCCCTGCTTGCATGCACACTGGGCACAGGCTCCTCGGGGACCTCTTTATCACTGCTGCCAGCCTCCACAATCTCCAAAGGCAACATTCCACTCCCTGATGGTCCTGGCCCCATCCCTGCATCACACACAGGCCCCTCATCTGAGTCCTCACTCTCTGAGATCTCAGCCATCCACACCTGCTGCCGGCGAACCACAACACTTTCAGATTTTGAAATTGTGTACCAGAAAATGGCATTGGCTTATTTTTCAGTTCGCTGTGGTTTATTATAAGGTATTACTCAAAAACTTAAGTTTCATGGCATCATCACTAAGCACTAAGTAGTATAATATGCACTGAGGAAGATTAATCTTATTTTCAGTGACGTAAAGCATATGCAATGTATTCCTTTTGTCAAACAGAAAATTGTGAGTGAAAGAAAGAAGCAGTTAAGATGAAAATACATTAAAGTTTAAATGCTGAATAATGTGAAAAGTGCTGTAGGGGGAACCAAACAAAGGAGATACTCAAAAAACTAGACAATATTCGAGGACATGAGGACAAAAAGGACATGTTCTGCTTTTGCTCAACATCTGATAATCTTATTCAAATTAACTTACAATTGCTGGTATTTGTACCTACTAGTACTAGAACAAACAGACACCCACCATATGGTACAACTACAGACAGTGGTAGGATTCAGTTTTTTTTTACTACCAGTTGTGTGGGTGTGGCTTAGTGGCGTGGCAGGAAAGGATACTGTAAAATCTCCAGTCAGAGATGGGATTTGCTGGTTTTCTAAACTAGTCAAAAATTTTGCTACCGGTTCTCCAGAACTGGTCAGAACTTGCTGAATACCATCTCTGAGTCTACAGACCCATCAGCTTGATATCAATACCTGGGAAGATCCTGAAAAAGATAATCAAGCAACAGATCTATCAATACTTAGAAGTAAGCAAAGTTATAACCAGAAGCCAACATGGGTTTGTTAAAACAGATCATGTTGAACAAATCTTATTTCTTTCTTTGACAAAGTGACTAAGTTAGTGGACCAGTAAAATCTGTGGACATAGTATATTTGGATTTCAGTAAGGCATTTGACAAAGTAGATCAAAACCTACTTCTTGGTAAACTAGAAATATGTGGATTAGATAGCATCACCACCAGATGTATTTGTAACTGGCTGATAAATTGCATTCAACATGTAGTCCTCTAATGGAATTACATTGCACACAGGGAAGTAAGCACTGATGTAACCCAAGGTCCTGCTTTAGACCCAGTACTCTTCAATATCTTCATAAACAATTTAGGGGAGGGGATAGAAGGTAAACTCATCAAATTTGCAGACAGCACCAAACTGGCAGGAATAAACATCCCTGAATATAGGCTCAAGATCCAGATGGATCTCAATAAACTTGATCACTGGACCCTAACAAAATAAAATTCAATGTAGAAAAAAAATAAGGTTTTACACTTAGGCAAGAAAAACCAAATGTATAGATACAGATTAGGTGAAACATGTCTCGATAGTAATAAACTGCAAGCGGGATCTTGGAGTCCTAGTGCACAATCACTTAAATATGAGCCATCAGTGTGCTCCAGCTGCCAAAAAAGCAAATGTAATCCTAGGTTGTATTAACAGAGGGATAGAAACAAGATCATGCAAAGTATTAATACTGCTTTAAGGCCTTGGTAAAATCACACTTGGAATACTGCATCCAGTTTTGGTCACCATAATATAAAAAAGATGTTGAGACTCTGGAAAGAGAGCAGAGAAGAGCAACAAAGATGATTAGGAGGCTAAAACATATGAAGAATAGTTGCAGAAATTGGGTATGTCTAGCTTAATGAAAAGGAGTAAGGGCAGCATGATGGCAGTGTTCTAATATTTGAGAGGTTGTTACAAAGAAGAGTCGGTCAATTTATTTTCCAAACCACCAATAGGCAAGACAAGAAACAATGGATAGAAACTAACCAGGAAGAGAAGCAAGCTAGAATTAAGCAGAGATGTCAAACTCAATTTTTCCATGGGCAGGATCAGTGTTCTATTTGTCCTCTGTGGGCTAGTGGGGGGGAGTTGGTGAGCGCATTCAGGTGGAGGAGTCAACGGACACATGCATGTGCAGGCCACTCCCCCATCATCACAGTTGCCTTCTATGCATTCTAGGGTGCATAGCCCAGGATGGCATGATAAAATGGGCCAGGCTGAAGTTTCCTATTCTGCAGATGCCCTGGAAGTTCAGAGATACTTTTAAAATTGACTATGTCAGAGTATATTCATTAACTGGAATAGAGCTTAGTGAAAAAAGTCAGCCAATGAGTAAGCATGGAAACAGGCCAGCCAATGGGAGCTGACAGCCTGGGTGTGGTTTGGCTCTGTGTGCTTTGTTGACAATTGAAACTGAAACTAACTTGCTTGCTTTACTGGAAACTGATATCTGCTATGAGCTGCAGCTGCTTGTGTTTTTGCTTATGTTATATTGAAAGAATCTACAAATGGTATTGTAAACTTTACTCATATTAATATGTATATAAAGAAGTTAATGATCCTGCAGAATAAGTCTGTGTGTTTTCTGGACTTGAATTTCTGCTGCAAGCTCTAACAGATTCTGGGCCCAGAATCAGAACACACAAAAATAGATTGAATTGTAATTAAGCTGAGAGACTGCCTGTGTTTAAAAGAAGAAGGCAGAGAAGGCTTTGCAAGATGGCTGATAAAATTAAGGAGAGCTTTCTGCCACATTTGGATCAGAAGAATTATAGTATTTGGGCTGCAAAGATGGAATGTTTCCTGAAAGCTAAGGAACTGTGGGATATTGTGGCAAATCGATCCCAAGCGCCCTTAACTGCTGCAGATCAGAGGCAACATGATAAAGCAATGGCTTATTTTATTTTTATTTTATTTATTTATTTTTGTCAATTACTTTCAAGATAATAGGTATAAGTAAAAACATAGTTATGAATACATGGATACATATAAGAAAAATAAAAAATAAAAGAAACAATAGGACAGGGACAGTAGGCACATTGGTGCGCTTATGCACGCTCCCTACAGACCTCTTAGGAAAGGGGTGAGGTCAATAGTAGACAATCTAAGGTTAAAGTTTTTGGGGTTTGGGGAAGAAACTAGAGTCAGGTAGAGTATTCCAGACATTGACCACTCTGTTGCTGAAGTTGTATTTCCTGCAATCAAGTTTGTTGATTAACCTTGAGTTTGTATCTATTGTTTGTTCTTATGTTGTTATGGTTGAAGCTGAAGTATTCATTGACAGGTAGGACATTGCAATGTATGATTTTATTTACTATACTTAGATTGGACCGAAGGCGGCATAGTGCTAGGTTTTCTAGGTCTAGAATTTCGAGTCTGGTGGCATAAGATATTCTGCAATGAGTAGAGTATATATCATCTTAAGTTTACAAGATGAATAGTTTATCAATGTAGCTGATTTAAAGACTGCAAATGAGGTCTGGCAAAAGTTAAGGATTGTACATGTGATTGTGTCAGCATGCAATATAGTGCAATTATCAAGAAAGTAATACAGAGCCAGTTTGCAACTGGGAGAATCTGTTGAACAGCATCTGGTGAATGTGCAAACTTGCTTGTGGAGTTAGAACAGCATGGGATGCAGATTCCTGAATCTCAGAAAGTGCTTTTGGTTTTGAACAGTCTGGATGACTTGTTTCTGCAGTGTTTGAATGCAAACCATTGCATTTGGAGGCATTGAAAGCATGTCTGATAGCTGAAGAGCAGAAACGCCATTTTAGGAAAAGCCACAAGGAGAAATCCCTGAGGAGGGGGCCCAAGGAGCAGAATGGAAAATTCCACAGACTGGCTGTCTACAGAGAAGAGAAGAGCAGCAGGGGATATCAGATAACAACCCAGCAACAGAAGTGGTACTTCATTTGTGGAGAAACAACTCATTTAAAGAGAGACTGTTTGCACAGAAGCAAATTGCAAAGAAAGAATTATTTGCAAGACTGAAGAAGCAGTTTGCAAGGAAGACAATTAGCTGATGGACAGGCTGCTGTTGCAAAAATTAGCTATTGCAGTAGAAATCAATGGCTAATTAACAGTGGGGCTAATCAAACAATTGCTAATAATTATAAATTGTTTTTCAGGATGGATGCAGCTTCTGGAAATGCAGTAGCCTTGGCAAATGGCTAAAAGGCTAAGAGGCAGTATGCAAATTTCATATCTGGAAACAAGGTTCAATGATGTTGTGTGTGTGCCTAAAATGGAGTATAATTTGCTGAGGGTCTCTAGTTTAGACAAGAAAAGATTTGAGACCACATTTGTAAATGGGAAGTGTCTCATAAAGCACAATGGCATAATATGTGCAAAGGGCATAAAGCAAGATAACCCTTATTTTGCAGAGACAAAATATTCATTATGCACAAACATTTGGAAATGTGGCAAAACATGATTCATGTGCTCATCTTTTAATCAGTGGTAGTCAACCTGGTCCCTACCGCCCACTAGAGGGCATTCCAGCTTTCATGGTGGGCGGTAGGGGTTTTGTCCCCTACTTTATAAATCACCTTTATAAATCACCGGTGGGTGGTTAGAGAAAATTTTACTACTAACAGAGATACAAAAGTGGGCGGTAGGTATAAAAAGGTTGACTACCCCTGTTTTACACTGTTAGCTTGGCCATGCCAGCTTTAAAGTTGTTCAACAGATGGACCAGTTTGCAGAAGAGTTGCATGTAAAGGGATGTAAGGTATATATGGACTGTGCAGTAAGAAAATAATCAAAGTAAGCAAATTATCAAATTCCCAGTAAGCAAGACTAGCACAAGGCAGACAACAAGAGGTCTAGAGGTGGTACATGCAGATTTGGTTGGGCCAATGCAGGCCAGTTTGGGAGCAACAAAGTATACACTGATCATTGTAGATGACTAAAGCAGGTTTGGGTTCTGCTATTTACTAAAGAATAAAATAAAGGTGCTACAGAAATTTAAACAATGGATAAGCTTCATGGAAAGAAGGTATGTCAGCTGCAAACTGACAGAGGTTCAGAATTCATGTCAACAAATTTTCAACAGTGGTTGGGACAGTTGGGAATAAAACACAGACACACAAATCCTTACACAGCAGTTGAGAATGCTGAGAGGCAGAATGGTTGCTGAGAGGCAGAATGGAATCTTACAAACCACAAAGGAGTCACTGCTAGAGGATTCTGGTTTGAGCAGGCATATTGAGGTGAAGCCATATTGACTGCTAATTATTTAATTATTAGGTTGTGGAGTTCCTCCATTAATGATACTCCATATGCAGTGCTATATGGGAGAAAGCCATCTCTGGCACATTTGTTTGGAAGCAATGTGTGGGTGCATATTCCAAAGGCAATAAGAAGAAAGGGACAACCAAAGGCTAGAAAGCTCAGGTTTATGGGCTATGAGCCAGGCACAAAAAGTGATCACTTTAGCGATGGGAACAAGAGAATAGTGATTCCAAGTTCTGCAAGCTTTGCAGAGCAAAATTGGAACAGAATTGATACAAATTTCTGGAATGATTCACTTAGTGATGGTGATTCACTTAGTGACAATAACTCACTTAATGATGGTAAGTCACTAGTGATGGTGTCAATGGAGTTCAGGGAGGAGAAACTGAAATAGATATGAAGCAGAGAGGGATGAAACACAGGAGCAGTCAATGCCACACACGTCAGAGCGATGGAACAAAGGGATTCCACCTGACAGGTATTCTGCTAGAAAAGTTAAAATGTGTAATGTATGGTATGAGCCAAGAAACTATAAGAAAGTATTGATATTACCTAAAATTGAAAAGTAAAGTGGAAAGAAGGCATGGACAAGGAAATAAAATCCATAGGAGAACATGAAGTGTTCACATCTATGACTTTGCCACAGAGTAGCAGAGCTGTAGGATGCAAGTTGGTGTACAAGAAGAAAGTACTACCCAATAATGAGATACAATATAAAGCAAGGTTAGTGGCACAAGGTTTTTCAAAGCTGAAAAATGTGCATTCTGATGAGGTGCTCATGCCAACTGTAGAGAGTGAAAGCATCAGGCTAGCACTAGCATTGACAGCTGTACATGGCCATAAAATTTGGCATTTTGACATAACCACTGCATTCCTCAATGCAGAATTAGAGGAAGAAATTTACATGGTTCAAGCATCAGAATATGAAAGCAAAAAAGGCATTGAAAGGTCTTGGGTTCAAGAGTTGCGAGGCTGATGGTTGCATATACACTGGAACCTTTTGGACCTCAGGGACCACCAAACTCATAATTTCAAATTCTGTGGACCACTAATATGAATTTTGACTGACGGTGGTTTGCTGATGGTGAGAAAGTCAGTCCCATGTTCCAGAGCTGTAGTAGTCATAGGACTGGCCTATGAACCGGCCTGCCATAGATGAGCTGCTCTGGGATGACCAAAGGGACAGCCTTGGAATATAGGATGGGTGCATGGTGGGGTTGGAAATCTCTGCCATATGGGCTGGCACCTGTAATGTGCAAATTTGCAGGTGGTGCAATGTGGAAAGACCTTCCAGCTTGCCTCTCCTGGCCTGGGCTCTTGGCCGTGGGCTGTAGGGATGGCCCGGGGCAGGAAAAGTATCAGCTGGTGGTGGTGGGAGACAGCGGAGTGGGCAAGTCTGCACTCACCATCCAGTTCAGAGGCCCAGAATGGAGCAGCGGCAATGGTGTTAGCTTTCTCGTCCTTCTTGGCACTCTGCTCTGCTAAGGGTGGGGTGCAGCGTAAGGGCCAGGCACCTGGAGCACCTTCCTCTTCCTCTGATCTGGGCTTGCTGCTGGTGGGTGGCTGGGTGGGCCTCCTCTGTAGATGCCCTCTCCCCGTGGGGAGAGCCCAGCATGCATGTGCTCTGGGGAGAGGCTTCGAGGCCTGGAGGTCACCACTGGTTGGCAACCACTGCACTGGAAAGTTAAAAGGTGGGGATTGACAACTATTAGCATTTGTGGATGATCTTTGCTTCATTGCAAAGGATGTATTTGCTAATCAGTTGGAGAAGAAAATTTGAACTAAAGAATTTGGGACAAATACAAAATTATCTGACATAGCTTGTGCAGTAAGCATTCTAAGTCACTTCATTGCTGCACCAACCCAATAGCATTGGATAGGTATAAAAAGGAATTCTCAAGTATTTGGAGGGAACTGTGAATGTGGGTCTTCAAATACAGGTATCTGAAGAATATTAACGATAATTGAGTTTATGTCTATTCCAGTTATGAAGGGAGGAGTGTCAGAATATATTCATGAACTGGAATAGAGCTTAGTAAAAAAAAAAGTCAGTCAATGAGTAAGCATGGAACAGACCAGCCAATGGGAGCTAACAGCCTGGGTGTGGTTTGGCTCTGTGTGCTCTGCTGAGAATTGAAACTGAAATTAACTTGTTTACTTTACTGAAAACTGATATCTGCTCTGAGCTGCTGCTGCTTTTGTTTTTTCTTATTTATTTTTTATATTGCCGCCTATTCACCCATGGTGACTTTTGTATTAACTTGAAGTGGCTTACCCAATGTAAAACCATATTTAAAACAAAAAACAAAAATAAAAAACAATAAAAACTAACAAAAAGAATCAAATAAATTAGTAAAACACAATAGAACAAAATTGTGGGGGGGGGGGACAAACAACAACAAAAACAAAAACGCCAACTCTCACCCCCAGATCCGATGACAGCAGATCACACTAGCCATTTGATGGGCTCCATCCCTCTCTGGGTTCCCCAGGCCCGCTGGCAAAACCAGGTCTTCACTGCCTTTCAGAAGAGTGCTAGAGTGGGGGCCATTCTAATCTCTGGAGGAATGATATTACAGAAAGAGGGAACCACCACGGAGAAGGCTCTTCTCTGGGTCCCACCAGGTGCTCCCTCAGGGGTGGGACCTGCAACATTGCTTGCCTCCTCACACTAATGGGTTGGGTAAGAGATGTTCCCTCAGTTAACCCGGACCCAAGCCATGAAGGGCTTTAAAGGTGACAACCAGCACCTTGAATTCCACCTGGAAGCAAATCAGCAACCAATGCAACTCCTGCAGGAGAGGTGACACCAAGGTCTGCACAAAACCATGTGGGGCACTGCATTTTGCACCAACTGGAGCTTCTGGATGCTCTTCAAGGGCAGTCACTTGTAAAGCGCATTGCAATAATCAAGACGGGAAGTGACCAGGGCATGAGCGACTGTGAGTAGGGACTGTTGATCCAGGAAAGGGCATAACTGGTGCACAACCCCAGTTGCGCAAAGGCCCCCCTGGCCATGACCGCCATCTGCTTTTTGAATAGGAGTTGTGAGTCCAGGAAAAACCTCTAGATTACGCACAGGGTCTGTTTGGAGTAGTGCCACCCCATCCAAGACTAAAGGAGGTAATTCTCCCTGAGCCAACGAACCCCAAACCCAGAGCCACTCGGTCTTGCAAGGGTTATGTTATGTTACACTGAAAAAATCTACCAATGATATTGTAAACTTACGTTAATTTGTTTATAAAAAAATTAATAATCCTGTTGAATCAGTCTGTGTTTTCTGGACTTGAATTTCTGCTGCACACTCTAAGAGACTAGTTCTCCCTCCACTTTCATAGTCTATTCCTGTTTTAACTGCCGTCTGTTGAAATATAACATTTATATGGTTTAATGCTTTTATCTTTTATTTCTACACTACCCAGAGTTCTCTGTGAGTGAGATGGGTGATCTCCAAATTTGATACATAAAAAATAATAAAATATAAAATATAAAAATAAAATAAATAAATAAAAATAAAAATGAAACAGTCTAAATGGGCCTTTTCATATTTTTGCAGTAGAGATCATTGGTCAATTTTTCTCCCTCTTATTTATTTATTTTCTGATTGATTGATTGATTGATGACATTCACATGCCACCAATGTTCAAAGTTATTCTGAACA